CTATATAAATGGAAAATAATGAAGCTAATAAATAACGATAAATGAGAATTAATTGGCACTATATAAATAATATATGACACAGAAAATGTATTTTAAAGTACATAAAATCAGAAATACGAATACCACTAGCGGTTAATTAAATTTGACGAGATTATATTCAAAATTTGCAGTGGTCGTTAACGAGTTAATACGTTATACATTATTTCGCATGTGTTCGTATATTTAACGTATATGTACATATGATGTTTAATGTATTCACAGATAGAAATGCAAATGCAGCGAAAAATGTTCTCAGCTTGTTCATTAGATATGAATGACATATTTGCACAAGCGTATTATGAAGTAACCTGAAACAGAAAGAAATAATATTTTAGATACAAAATGATTTATAAAGAAAAATGTATCTTAAGAATCATAAAGTTATATTTTAAACACTTGACTGATTATTTTTTACATTTTATTAGCTATTTTATTACCATATTTTCATTATTGCATATTTTAATTATATATATTTCAGACTAAAAAATTAGCTAAAACAGACTCAACTGTATAACAGCCTCTAAAGTAAAGACTGATCATTAAGAAATGAATAACAACAAAATATAAAAATTGTTTAAAATTAAATTATGTTTAGGAAAAAGGGGTAATAATTCTATCTTAAATATAAAATATCGACTTTCTTCTTCAAAAGTTTCATGTCAGTGAAACTCCATTCCCCAATTTATATACAAAATGAAATAAATCAACAATTAAATTAATTAAAAAAAAGGATACCGAATTTTTAAAAAAATATACGATTATCGTTCTTTTAAATATTCCTTCAAAATTTCTTTATAGGGAAGTTCCACAATTTCTTAAGTCAATTCCGAGAGCTACTAAACGGGTGTCTTCGTTTCCTTCGTACTGGTACGGCTCTACGTTAAAATTCCTGTCTCGAGCCGAGAGGCAAGCGTTTTCTAATTACGGAAAACGTTAAAAGATTACAGAGATAATGGAGGTTTGCCGTTGCGGATGCGACGCATCGTCGTCGTTGGAATCGATCAATCCACCGAACGAGCCGTGCTGTTGCTGCAGTTACAATCCCTTCAGCGACAATTCCAAAGAATCAGAGATCTACGACCTCTCGTTTGCCCTGAGGAAGCTCTCGGTAATGAAGTGTCAGATGAAGAAGTGGCGAATGGAGAGACTTCAGCTGGAGAGTGAAAATAGGTCTCTGAAACAGGCCCTCCAGTCATACGGTATCGATGTATGATATTTCGTAATGCCCCGTTCCTTCTTCATCGTCTCTATCCTCCTCTCGCTCTAACTCGCGCTGCCTATATCGCGCAGTCTCTCTCGTTTCGCGTCGTCTGTTAGCTGGCTCGCGCAAAATTGATTAATTGGAATTCTGTACGGATACCCTTCCGTTCGCGTTCCTGTCCCCTTACGAATTAATCGTTCAGTCGAAAGGAGTAGCGTTCCATGCAATTACTACTGGAAAAAGCGAGCCAAGAGAAATTATATACACCGGGTGTTTCGTTTAATTTTATTAGCTCGAAACAGTTTCCGTGTCGCTGTCGACACAAAGGGTATGAGGATCGGTATATGCTCTGTCCATTAAGATAATTCCGCTCCTGTGAGGTTATGTTCATTCTTATTAAATCAGCGCGTTTACTCGATCACATTTAACCCATTTGTATCCAAGCGCGGAATATTCCGCGAGCTGCGACTGTCGTCTATCACCGAGCGCGGAATAATCCGCGAGCTGACTTTTTCCATTACCAGTTGCTGAATATTCTTCATATGCCACAGATCACGTTTGATCCCTTTTGTGAGCATCTCATCTACATCGGTTCATTATATTCTTAACAAGTTTTACTTTTGTCGTGAAATTCCTTTTAACTGCCATTATGATTAAGTGCTGATACGCGCGCGGTGATACGGGCTAGTCGTCAATTGAACGTCGCTGATGCCTGAACACGGCACCTTAAGTACACCCATGATGCAAATGGTTAACCGCGTTTTGAGGTTATGTCAGTTTCGAAAGTAAATAACGCGATAGAGAAGACTGAAGAGATAATAGATTTCAACGACGAATAATGTATAATTTTATTTTTCTAATCATTTATTTTATATGTATTAATCGTGTATTAATTTTATTAGCCTGTCAAATGATACTTTGCATTGAAAAATTTATATTTTATTACTAGTAAAGAAATTTGTAAGATAGGTTATGTTTGTATACATATATATGCTATATCTGTATTTGTTTCTGAAGTTCCTTTGACTTTAAATATTTATTTTTATTTCTTTATGAGAACAGAAAATTACTCGAATTAATATAGTTTCAATAATATTAAACTGCCTAACCTGTAGACATATATATCAAAATAAAAAGTTTTCATTGAAAATATCGAATATCTGTTCTAAAAAGTAAAATCTGTATTTTTTAGATCTTCTATCTATATTCTTTTTCTGTTTAATATTATATTTCATTATCAAGAAAGATTTTATTTGCATATACATATATACCACATCTGTATTTGATGCTGAAGTTCCTTTACTTTTAAATATTTATTATTATTTCTATATCAAACCAGAAGATTACTCGAATTAATATAGTACCAATAATATCTTAATAATAATCAAGATGATTAAATTTTTCACTCTGTATACATATATAAAATTAAAAAATTTTCATTAAAAATATTTTCCTTCTCTGTTCGATATTAAAATAAAATTCATAAATACATTAATAGTAAATTAGTAGAATTTTCAGGTTATTTAAACAATTAGAATTAAACAATTTAAGAATATAGAAATGTAATTTTATACGAAAAATTGTAAGAATTTGTGATAACAGTTGTTCTATTCTGAAACATTTTCGCTATTTTAAAATAAAGTGTTGAAAAATATGGGTTTCCTTCTGCATCTCGTACAGTACAAGATTCTCACAGCGCCCTGATGTTATTACCTGTAAAAATGTTATCTACGTTAACCTATTCCTACATTACCAACATTCCCACACTATCCGTACAATCCCCACGATTTGCGTTACATTATTTACAATATTATATTCGCCCTGGTTTCTACCACTAAATTCTGTAATAGTAATACAAACCGAATGCTGTCTTCGAATGTAGACCAGGGCTTCCTCGCTTCGGGGATTTTCCTTTAAAATTCAGAGCGTTTTCTTTGAACGGTATCGTGCACGTGCACCGTCCCGAATGTTTCTAAAGATTAGATGTTTTCGTGTAGGTGTAAATGCGGATGAGATATTGAAGCCCGATCCGTTGGTAGTGCACTCTCGCGAAGAAATCGAAAGGCTGCAAAATGCAAACGCGGCGCTCGAAGATAAAGTGAGGGATCTGGAGGAAACTCTCGTCGAACGAGATTGCTGCGACGATCCTGGCGCTACGATTCACTTCCTCAGAGAGAAAATGAGATATCTCAGGGAGCGCTTCGCGCTTGAAAAGAAAGAGTACTGCTCTCTTCGTTACTTTGTCTGCCTCGTAAACCTAGACCTCCTTTAATTGTTTTCTCTTTCTAACAAACGTATCATCGATAGGTACTAAATGATACGGAATGGGAAAGTGATACGTGACGTGTGCAGAAAAGAGTTGGAAAGTATTAGAAAAGTTTAATGTCAAATTAGAGAAAAATTGTGGGAAAAATATCAAGTTCACTGAGATATTTCTTTTTAATTTATTATTTTGCAATTTACAGTATTGTAATAAGGATACCATGACATGGTATATTATTTATTGATATGTTTATTATTGTAGTACGATGGAAAAGGATGGTGAAAAAATTAATTAATAATTATTGCAATTATTTATTATTTATTAGTACACAGTTATTCGAATAATGTAGACTTTATAAATTACTTTATTTTCATTAGAAAAGGTAAGTTTTTAGTATTATTTATGATCAGAACAGTGGATATTGTTTTTTATTATATTATGGTGTTTGATTAGGGTTGCATGCATCTTGAGTTTGAATTATTCCAGCAACTAATTAGCAATTTTTAACTAAACATGTATTTATTTTAAGTTTATTCATATATATCTGTTTTAAATTTATAATTTGTAATTTATAGTATTATGATAAGGATACCATACCATGTTTTATTATTTATTGATATATTTATTATTATGGTACGATGGAAAGGGATGGTGCAAAAATTAATTAATAGTTATTGCAGTTATTTATTAGTACATATACACAGTTATTCGAATAATGTAGATTTTATAAGTTACTTCATTTTCATTAGAAAAGGTAAGTTTTTAGTATTATTTATGATCAGAACAGTGGATATTGTTCTTTAATATATCATGGTTTGATTAGGGTTACATGCATCTTGAGCTTGAATTATTCAAGCAACTATTTATCAATTTTTAACGAAACATGTATTTATTTCACTACTGTCTTTCATTTTCAAAATTTGGAATTTTTCTTCTTAACTCCTCTTTCAATTTCTTGTTCAAATTATAAGCCTCAACTACTTGGACTATAGTTGCAAATGAATTTTTGAATAAATAATTTCAATTCATGATATCAATTAAAAACTTACAATAAAAACTTTGAAAATTTTAGTTCTAAAGAATACACTTTATCATATTACTATTTAATTATTTAATTATTATCATATTTAATTATATTTCCTTATGAATTATTATTTAATTAATTAATTATAATTTTACTATATTACATTAATCTTATACGAATTATCATCACCTGAACCAAGTTTCTAAAGCCCCAAAGTCCCAGGAATCAACGTTTAACATATTAATGACTTAAAGTTTACACGTAGTGATTCACATCCCTCTAAGAAAACCGCGAGACTCAAAAGCGAGTCATCTTGCACGAATGAGTTAACTTAGACAGAAGTGTCAAAGAAACTTTTGCGCCCTGACAGATTGCGGGACACGATATCGCATTTGAAGCTAAAGTTGGCGCAGGCCGAGGAGGACGTCAGCTGCCCCGCGATATATCGTCTAAGGACGAAGCTGCGTGAACTCATGAAAGAGGGTCAGACGGCTGACCAGCAGGTTTCCAAAGTCGTGGAAAGATCGATCGAAACCTTGGTGGACCTCTCGAAGAGCTGCGGGGAACTTCGTTCGGAGAACGAACGCCTGCTCGCAGAGGCGGCTGAGCTTCGTGGTGCCCTGGCCAGGATGAAGGAGGAGCAGTTGGAATCTGCACCGTTGGAACTGGAGCCTATGATGAGAACCATCGACACGATCACGGTACCGGAATACGTCGACATCTCTGAGCTACTGGAGAAGCTGAAGAACTGCGAAGACACAGTGGCCGACCTGAGGAAACAGCTAGATGACAAGGACAGCTTGATAGACTCTCTGAACAAAGAATTGGAGACGATGGTCAGTCAAATGGGTCTGCAGGAGCAGATAGAAGCCATGGCTGAGGAACTTAAGAGGAAAGATGAGAAGGTACCGGTCGAAAGTAACGTTAGAGAACTTGTTTAATCCGGCTAATGGGAAATGACTTTTTTCTCCTGGCGAGTTGTGAAAACTGATTTCTCTCTTGTATGATGCGTTTAGAAGTTCGTTTGAGGGTCTGTCGACGCGACGGAAAGTTGGTAGGAGAGTGCAGAGTAGGTAAACAGGGTGCACGGGTAATTAGTATTCAAAACTTTTTCTTTCTTTTTGAAGGGAAGCGAAAATAGCTGGGTTTTAAATATTTTTCGACGAGTCACTTGATGGAGGATTCGAGATGTGGCTTGAAATATGAGAATATAAGCGTGTGTACGTGTCTTGATACGCGAATTGTGGTTGCAGTTATTCTAGGTTTGATATAATAAATTGGATTTGTCGTCCTTTAATATTAATCAAAATTATATTAAGCTGCATAGCATTTATCAATCGTGTATAGTACTATATAGTATACTATATAATATAGTGCTTTGTACCATATAGTACTGTAGCGACCATCGTTCTCACTCTCGCCACTAGATGGATTCCATCTTGAAGGAGGTTCGAGGATTTTCTTGCAAGTCCTCGGAAAAACCATCGCTTCCTATATATATATATAACTTCCCGATTATCCAATAGTATCCCGGTCTATGGCAGGGCCTTCTAGGGTAGCTTTACTGATGAGTCCACTAGCATCCTAGTGGCCAGTAGTCACTAGCATCCAGGACGAAACGCATCCTTTCCTTTTCCTTTCAACCTTTCTAGCACCACCACCATAACGAGGATACCTGCGCCTAGCCAGCTTTAACAATCCCGTGGAAGGGACCTCCAGTATACTATATAGTATAGTGCTACATAGTATACTATATAATATAGTACCTTATAGTACTAGTACTAACTAGGGAATTAACTAAGGGAAATGCTAGTTAGCAGAAGAAGAAAATTTGTTTAAAAATGTAGATATTATGACATCAAAGAACATATATCATCCATATCTACCACATATCATCATGTGCCCTCCATTCCCATCTCGATCTCCAAAAATACCAAAAATACTGTAGAGTCACACAGTCTCTACTCGCTGGAGAGTACCTCGGAATACTCAGATTCACTGCAGTCTGTATTTTCTATTCGATTCTCAATAACGCGTAACTCTCGCAATCACAACTCTCGGTTTCAACTCTCTCAAGGACTACCTCAACTCTCTAATGACTATCTCAAAACTCTCCCCTATCTTCCAGAGCGGGCCCTTTTAAGCCAGTCTGGAAGGCAAGAGCCTCCCCCGAAGGAGGAGAGAGCTCCCTCCAGGTGGAAGGGATTCCTCCTTCAGGTTAGGCTCTCCGAAGGGTCACCCACGCGGGGACCCTTCCCGAGAGGTGCCCACGGACGCGTCACCCCCGGTTTACAATGGGGAAAACCGGGGTTGAGCGAGGCTACCTCACATGGTCTGGCCCCAACTCCCCCAGGCTCGTCTGGCCGCCAGACGCTAACGGGGCCTCTATACCTGGGAAGTCAAAAAATATCCTACAATACTCTCGTGTCTCCCTTTCAGATCACCGAGCTACTAAACACTCTAAGACAATCAGAGATAGACTTGCTCGGTTTAAGTGGTCTGAAATCCGATCTGGAGAACCTGAAACCAGAACTGCAAACTCTGAAACTAGAAAAATCCGAGTTGCTAGACGAATTATCCCGTCTACGTGAAGCACTGAAGGACAGGAACGATCAGATCATAGACATCCTAGAACAAAAGGACAAGCTCGAACGAGAACACCATGCCAGGCTCTCGGCACTGCAGTCTAGCCTCGACGAGGCGTTGGCCGGTCAAACGACCTTGAACCAGGAGATCGACGATCTGAAGGCTCAGATCGCCAATCTGACGAACGAGCTGGCCCAGTGTAACAGACGGAACGAGGAGCTCGAGGAGTGTTGTCAAGACAGGGATGCTCTTGCGGAGAAGGTTCTCGGCCTGGAAGACGATCTGGCTACCGCGAGGGACACGGTAGCGAATCTCGAGACAGAGGTGGAGACCCTGAGGTCGGACAAGGAAAAGTTGTCAGAGGAGCTGGACGAGGCGAGGAAACAGGTGGAGCTGCTGACCGGGGAGCTGGAAGACGAGATGGCTGCCAGGTCCACGTTGCAGAAGGATCTCGGGAGTGCTCGGGATGAGATTGAAAAGTTGCAGAAGGAGAATTTGGATCTAAGAGACCAGATCGAGAAACTTCGCGAAGCGTTGGGGGAGTCGGAGAAGCTGGCCGAGGAGAACGAAAAGTTAAGGGCTCAGTTAGAAGAGCTGAGGAGCGAGAACGAAGGTCTGACGAAGAGGATGGGCGAGCTGGACGATTTGAATAATCGACTGAAGAACGAGTACGACAGCATGAAGCAAGCGTTGGGCAATTTGGAAGCGGAGGTCAACAGGCTGGAGGATGAACTGAGCAGGGCGGTGCAAGAACGCGACGCGTTGCTGAATGAGAATAACGACATCAGAGGGCGGCTCGAACAGGCGATAGCTGAGAACGAGGCTCTGATAGCTAGACTGGACGAGGTCGCTGCACAACTTGATAAACTGAAGTTGGAGAAGGAAGAGCTACAGATGAGTCTCGACGAGATGGGGAAGGAGAACGATTTGCTGAAACGAGACGCGAAGGCGTTAAGGGACGACCTTGAGGAGCTGAAAGCTGCTGGCGACGCGCTGAGAGCGGCGGACGGGGACATGAAACTCGTATTGGACAAATTGGAACGGGACATGAAGGATCTGAAGGCGGAAAGGGACCGTCTGACGAGCGAGAATGCGGATCTAAAAAGTAAAATCTCGGAATTAGAAGGGAAACTAGCAGAGGCTAGAGAGAAGTTGGAGAAAGCGACGTCAGAGAATGCAGATTTGTTGAAGGAAGTGAAACGTCTGCAGGGTGAATTGGAGAAGGCTTTGGGCGATACAGAGCAACTGAGATTAGAGGTACAGTCGTTGACGGAAGGCCTGGACAAGTGCGTGGACGAGATGGAGAAGCTGATGACAGAAAACACCGAGCTTAAGTCAGAGAACGAGGCTTTGAAGTCCGAAAAGGATCGCTTGTCCGACGAGAATGCCGATCTGAAGATCAAGAATTTGGAGTTACAACAGAGGTTCGATGATATCACGAAAGAGTTGGATAAGTCGAAATTTGAAAACTCCGATCTGCTAGCTGAGATAGATCGTCTGAGAAATGAATTGGAAATCGCGCTGAACAACATCGAGCAATTGAAATCCGAGATAGGTTCGTTGAAAGAAGCCCTCGACAAGTGCGTGGGCGAGATGGAAAAGCTGAAAGTGGAGAACCAAGATCTCAAAACGGAGAATCACCAGCTCGAAACGGAGAATCACCAGCTCAAAACGGAGAATAACGGACTCAAAACGGAGAACCAGTCTCTGCAATCTGAAAGGGATTGTCTGGCAAACGAAAACGCCGATCTGAAGGCCATGAACTCGGAATTGCAGGAAAAATTGGAGAACGTAGCGAAAGAGCTGGATAAGACAAAGTCAGAGAATGCTGATTTGCTCGGCGAAATAAATCGTTTGGAACGGGAATTGAAGGAAGCCTGGGAGGACATCGATCAATTGAAATCCGAGATGGATTCGCTGAAAGAAGAGCTCGACAAGTGCGTAGGCGAGATAGAAAGGTTGAATGCAGAGAACAACGACCTCAAATCGACGAATCAGGATTTGAAGTCTGAAATTCAGGGGATTAGAGGCGAAGGGGACAGTTTGGCTGTGGAATTAAGTAAACTGAAAGACGAGAATTCGGTTTTGAAAGCTGAGAGGGACCTATTGAGCAAGCAATTGACAGACGCTTTGGCGGAAAACGAAAAACTGAGAATGGCCAAGGCTGAACTAAAGGCTGAGAACGAGAAGCTGAAAGAAGAGCTTGACAAGTGTGTGGATGAGATGCAAAGGCTGAATACCAAGAACAACGACCTTAAATCGGCGAATCAGGCTTTGAACATTGAAATTCAGGGAAATAAAGACGAACTGGATAGTTTGATCGTGGAATTAAGTAAACTGAAGGACGAGAATTCGGTTTTGAAAGCTGAGAGGGACCAATTGAGCAAGCAATTGACAGACGCTTTGGCGGAAAACGAAAAACTGAGAATGGCCAAGGCTGAACTAAAGGCTGAGAACGAGAAGCTGAAAGAAGAGCTTGACAAGTGTGTGGATGAGATGCAAAGGCTGAATACCGAGAACAACGACCTTAAATCGGCGAATCAGGCTTTGAACATTGAAATTCAGGGAATTAAAGACGAACTGGATAGTTTGATCGTGGAATTAAGTAAACTGAAGGACGAGAATTCGGTTTTGAAAGCTGAGAGGGACCAATTGAGCAAGCAATTGACAGACGCTCTGGCGGAAAACGAAAAACTGAGAACAGCCAAGGCTGAGCTAGAAGCTGAGATCGAGAAACTCAAAGAAGAGCTTGACAAGTGTGTGAACGAAATAGAAAGGCTGAATACCGAGAATAACGACCTTAAATCGGCGAATCAGGCTTTGAAGTCTGAAATTCAGGGACTTAGAGGCGAAGGAGACAGTTTGGCTGTGGAATTAAGTAAACTGAAGGACGAGAATTCGGTTTTGAAAGGTGAGAGGGACCAATTGAGCAAGCAATTGACAGACGCTCTGGCGGAAAACGAAAAACTGAGAACAGCCAAGGCTGAGCTAGAAGCTGAGATCGAGAAACTCAAAGAAGAGCTTGACAAGTGTGTGAACGAAATAGAAAGGCTGAATACCGAGAATAACGACCTTAAATCGGCGAATCAGGCTTTGAAGTCTGAAATTCAGGGACTTAGAGGCGAAGGAGACAGTTTGGCTGTGGAATTAAGTAAACTGAAGGACGAGAATTCGGTTTTGAAAGGTGAGCGAGACCAATTGAGCAAACAATTGACAGACGCTCTGGCAGAAAATGAAAAACTGAGAATAGCCGAGGCTGAGTTTGAAACTGAGAACGAGAAGCTGAAAGAAGAGTTGGGCGAGTGTAAGGGAGAGAATGACAGGTTGAAGGACGAGCTTGATAAATTAAGGGACCAATTGCGATCGTTGAACGACGAATTGGATGGGTTGAAGGGTCAGCTGGCTGAAGCTGAGGACAAGATTCGATCTCTGGAGCCGCTGGTCTCTAGTTTGCAGGCAGAGAACGATAAATTGCGAAACGATTTGGCGGCAGTGGAGGACGAGGCGAGAGGCTTGAGGACGAGAGTGGGTAGAGAAATGGACGACAATGAGAGGATGAGGAACGATATGAAGATACTGGAGGATCAGGTGCAAGAGCTGAGTAAGAAACTGGACAACGTTAGGGCCGAGAACGAGGCGTTGAAGCAGGAAAATCTGGCTCTCAAGGAGAGATTGGCAGTTGCTGAGGGATACTTGTCTGATTTGAAGATAGAATGCGCGGATTTGAAATCGGAAATCGCGGATTTGAAGAAATTAATAGAGGAATTGAGAGCGAAAATCGCGCAGCTGGAGGCAGATGTGGATCATTGGAAAATGGAGAATTGTAAGCTTCAGCTGGAGATCGATAAGTTGAAAGCTGATCTCGAGAAAGCGTTGAAAGATTTGAGCGAGAGTCAGGTAAAGAAAATTATACTTTGCTTTTGTTGTGATTGCTATTTCGTTTATTTTTATCGTTATTGTAACTAAATTATTATTATTTTCATCTTTGAACTTATTTAACCCTTTGATCTACAACCACGTGTGAGGCTCGTGGTGAGGTTTTCGAGCCGAGAATGATTATCACGAACCTGGCACGTGGTAAATCGGTCGAGCCGAAACTGACTATTACGTGCCTGGCACGTGGTATGTCGGGCGGGCCGAAACTGACTATCACGTGTCATGGCCGTGGTTTGTCGATGTGTCTCACTTCAATTATTAACCTATATTGTTTGTTGTTTAATTTAATATATCATTTAGTTTGAATCATTTGTTTCTTTTTAATTTTTTACTTGTATTTTTGTAATTTATTAAATTAACTCTTTCCGAATTATATTTTTTTTAAGACAGATTTACTGTTTACGTTTTGGGACCACGCTGTTGAATCTTAAATCGTAGGGCAAGGGGTTAATAATTTTAATAATTTTTGTAATTTTATTATATCATTACATTACATTATATTTTCATGTTACTATAGAAAATATACTCATATCGAGTTTTTTAATTAACATTATCACGTAAAATATTTTTATCACAGATATAATTTCGTACAGATTGCTACAAAAAGATCGTGGTTAGTATTGTTCTCCACACAGTATTGTGCATTGTCTAGAAATCAAATGAAATTTGAAAATTTTCCACGAGCTTAATAAAGTAGTATATTGTTACGAATCGTTGAATTGATCCTCGAAAAAAGTAAACCTTTTCCTACAATATTCGTAGAAACCATCGTTATCAAATTTTAGAAATAAAACAAATATTGAAATAATTGAGTGGAAAACTGAAACTACCACTGATCTAACAAGCATCAGAATATTTCCAGTGTCGAAAAAGTTTTATTTGAATATCGAAATCCTCGTTTCAATTAAAAAAATGAAATACGAACTTCATCAAAATCTCAAAAGAAGTTTATATTCTAAAACAAAATCGTTATTTACATATAAATTGAATCTCAAATTGAAACAGGCTCTGAGAAAGGCTCAAGAGGCAGAGCTGAACCGTCTACAGACAGAGAAAGCCGATCTCCATAAAAAGCTAGCCGATCTAAGTTCCGAGATGGATCAGCAGAAGAGAGCTCTAGGGGCAGAGAAATCAGCCAAAGACAAAGCAAACTCAGAAATCTCTGCTCTGAAAGACGAGCTGGAAGCACTGAAAAAAGAATTAGAAAAATTGCGAGGGGACAACAACAAGTTGAGAAACGAAATCGACGATCTAGAGAAACTTCTCTCAGCAACGAGGAAAGAACTGAACGATGCCAAAGAAGAGATCGCTGCTCTGAGAAACGCGAACAGCGCGTTGCGATCCGAATTGGACGCTCTGGAGAGCTTAAAGAACGAGCACGACAAGCTGAAAACCGAGCTGGAAGCTGTGGAAGCTGAGAACGCGAGTCTCCGCGAGGCCACGAAGAACCTGGAGGACCAATACGGCAAGCTGAGAGGAGAAGGCGACGGCCAGAAGCTAGAGATCGACACGCTAAGATCAAACTTGGACGCAGAGAAGGCAGCTGCTGCCAAACTAAAGTCAGACCTCGAAACGTGCCAGGCTGAAAACGACAGGTTGCAAGCGCAGTTGAACGAGTTGAAGAAGGATTTAGACAAACTGAGAACAGAGAACGATCGCATGAAGAACGAGATCGATGACTTAAAGAAGGCTCTCGCGGACGCAGAGGCAAGGGTGAAGTCTCTCGAAGGCGAACTTTCAGATCTGCTAGCGGAGAAAGAGGAATTGGTCAACGAACTCTATCGTCTTCGAGATGAGCTGAAGAATCTCAAGAACGATCTGCAGAGGCAGACGACCGCCAAAGACGCGGCTACCAAAGAGCTAGCCGATCTCAAGGATGAACTGGCAAACCTGAGAGCAATGCTGAGCAAGAGTCGCGATGAAACCGAAACGCTAAAGAACGAGAACCAGAAGCTGACTATGGATTTAGACGAGTTGAACAAGCTATTGGAAGCTCTCAGAAACGAAAACACGAAGCTTCGGACCGAGAACAGTGATGTGACGAGCAAGAACGAAGAACTGACAGCGGAGCTGGCTAGAGTGAAGGATAAATTAAAAGACGCTGAAAATAATTTGAATAATCTGATTAAGGAGAACAAGGATTTGAAGAACCAAATTGCTAATCTCGAGAATGTAATAAAGGAGCTCGAAGCTTTGAAGAAACAGTTGGAAGATGCTAAGAAGGAGCTAGATAAGCTGTTACCAGAGCTGGACAGGTTGAAGTTAGAGAAGGCAAAACTGGCAGAGGACTTGGTCAAGGCTACGAACGAATCGTCCAAGTTAAGGGGCGACTTGGATAAATTGAAGAAGGATCACGAAGCTTTGCAATCGGAATTAGGTGGTCTGAAGGAGGAGATGGAGAGACAGAAGGAGCGCGATACAGCGATGGAAAAGGAATTGGTCAGGTTGAAGAAGGAGAACGACCAGTTGAAGAATGGCAATGCGAAATTGAAAAACGAGTTAAAGGATTGCCAGGATGAGAATCAAAGGTTGCGAGGTGAACTCCAGGATTTGAAGGCGAATAATGCAAAGTTGCATAGTGATTTAAGCAAGGCGAAGAATGATGCTGATAGGTTGAAGGGTGATCTGGATAAATTGAAGAGCGATTATGCAGGTCAGTAGGGATGTGTGAAAAGATGGTTTAGTACTGGAAAATTCTACTTAAAATTTTTACAAATTTTATTTCTTCGAATTCTACGAGTTTTATTTTTTTAAATTTTGCAAATTTCATTTCATGACATTTTACATATTTCATTTCTGATGGTTTTATATAATTTACTTTTTCAGATCTTGCAAATTTCATTTCTTTGAATCTTAGCAATTTTATTTCATAAAATTTTACGAATTTTATTTCCTAAAATTCTACAAATTTTATTTCTGAAGATTTTATATATTTCATTTTTTAAGATTTTGTGAATTTTATTTCTTTAAATTTTACAAATATTATTTCATAGAATTTTACGAATTTTATTTCCTAAAATTCTACAAATATTATTTCATAAAATTGTACATATTTTATTTCTGAAGATTTTATATATTTTATTTTTTAAGATTTTGTGAATTTTATTTCTTAAAATTCTACAAATATTATTTCATAAAATTTTATATATTTTATTTCGGAAGATTTTATATATTTTATTTTTTAAAATTTTGTGAATTTTATTTCCTTGAATTTTACAAATTTTATTTTATAATTCTGCGAATTCTATTTCCTAAAATTTTATGAATTTTATTTGCTAAAATTTTACGAATTTTTTAATAACAAAAATTCGCGTGATCTGTCTCCACAATTGCGTTCGAGAAAGTGAACTTATTATTCTATGACCAATTAGACCTGTACTCCTTCCAAATGCAGGCTTCTGAATCCTATGTATAATATAATATAATATCGTTTGTATAATATTTCCAAGTTCTACTAGTGTCTAATATTGAACAATTTTTACAGACTTAACGACAGAATTAGCTAATGCAAGGGAAGAGAAGAAGAGACAAAAGGAACACGATTCCACGTTAAGTGCAGATTTGGCGAAGATGAAGAAGGAGAACAACGAGCTGAAGAATGCAAACGCAAAACTGAAAAGCCAGTTATACGACTGCCAGAAGGAATTGGAAAATTTAAAGAGAGAAAATGCGAAACTGAAGAAGGCTGCAGGTTTGATAACTACCACGGTAGCGTTTCGATTGTTTGGGCTTTCGTTATTCAAATTAGACGGCGAGGGGTCTTGGTCTTTTGACGAAGTAGCTTTGCAAATTCGAGCAGAGAGGCTAATGGACGGCTGTTTAATATTTGCCTCCAATGGTACTTAGTTTAATCTTGAAATAATTATCTTTTGTTCTGACTTTATATTATTCGTTCTTGAATGTTTGCAGATTCTTTGATAGGATTAGGTAATATCGAGGGAATGAAGTATTGTCTTATAGTGAATTAATTAGGTTACTTCGGTATTTTTTCTTATTTTCTTCCTACCTTTTTTACACTGGAAATATAATTGACAATAATTGAAATAACATAATGAAAATAATTACGTTCTTGTATTAACCGAGGGAATGAAGTATTGTCTTATAGTGAATTAATTAGGTTACTTCGGTATTTCTTCTTATTTTCTTCCTACCTTTTTTACACTGGAAATATAATTGACAATAATTGAAATAACACAATGAAAATAATTACGTTCTTGTATTAATAAAAATTAACTTTAATTTTTTCAAAAGTAGCTGCATATTTTTGGTAATTGTAGAAACAGAAAGTAACATTATACATTATGATTAATGTTAATTTTTGTTGAAAACTAGTGACACATTTGTAAATATTATTTTTTTGTCATTTTATTAATTTATTATTATATATTCTTCCTAAACCCTGTTAATAATAATATCAGGATTTTGAAGTTTATTTTCATTCCTCAATATAGTAACATAAAACACAGGTAAAAGTAATGAAAACAAAATTTTTTAAATTTAGAAAAAGGAGAGGAAACAGGAAATCGAAACATACTCAGTTATTACATAACTACCAATGAAATTGTAATTATTTCTTTATATTCGCAGCACATCTATAAAATATTCATTTCCAGTGAAAAATATTAGAAAAAGGAGAAAACAATTATTAATTTCCAATTTTATTAAATTTTTTAAGTAATGTACATAAAAGAATCTTCTCTGAAAGGATAAATTTGACTACAAAAATTTAAATACAGAAATCTGTTAAATCAAGAACATTATTTACATATCCACAATAATATAGAAAATAATTATTATAAATTATAAAATTTATATTAAGTATCTCAAGAACACGTCAAAAGAGAGACAGAGTGAAGCTAGATTTCTTAAAAATTTATAATAATTATAACTCACAATTGGGAAAAACGACTATCCTCAGCCCCCTTCTTTTTCCCAAACCGAAGAGGTACACAATTGACATTAATATAACGTCCACCCCTCGCCGTGTACTTGAAAATGTGGTTACCTCATTGTCGAGATTATTTCGCTAAATGAAGTCGAATAACCTAGGCGTTAATGGCATTAAAACATACTTTTTAATGCCGGCGAGTACTAATCACCGGTGTGCCTGTTGTTGAAACGCTATTACGCCATTTCCTTTTCACGAGGCTGTAATTACATATTGTCAATGAAATGAATGCAGCGAGAAAGGTGGAGCCAAAGGCGACGGAAATGGACAAAGATATTGTGGATGATTGCGGAGACTTCATTAAGGCGAACGAATTACTGGGGGAAAAATTTGAAAGGCAGAACGAAGGTAAAAATTGTATAAAGATCCTTTTGGCTAGAGAAAAAGTGAGAAATACGGGGAAAATCTGATTCTTATCGTCTCGTTGCTTCCTCCAAGCGAGAAAAATTCGTAACCGGTTGCTTGCGAATGTCACTGAATGCCACCATTTCGAATCGCATTTTTCAACCCCATTTTATGATTAATAAATAACCCGCAACCCCTAACTACCACACGTTTGGATAGAAACTATTTTCAATGGGACAAAGAAATGAGAATAATAAAAATAGATTCTTTTTAATATTTTTCTAATCTGATTTTTCGACAATTTAATGTACGTGTTTAATTGTTTAATTATTTAATGCAAAGTGTGATGGTTATATTTATGTGCAATTCCTTTGAGCTCTGATCTTATTTTTAGGGTAGTTAAATAATTTATCTCTTGACATGGTTAAATAACACAGCGTTTCTTAAAAGGTAAACAAATATAAAGAAATTTTTCAAAATATAATTTTAATTGATTTATTATGAAAATAACAACTTAATTTTTATTTTACAGTATATTAAATCAAATATAATTTTTGTTTAAGATTTGATTCATTTGAAAGACTAAACTATATAAAGGGCCAAATAAAAAGGGCACTATTAGAAATGCCATTAGAATAAACAAGGTCTAAAAAATTGATTAAATTGATTAATTAGGATTATTCAGTTATTTAAAAATAAGTATTACAAATTATTAGTCGGTGTTATTCATTTATTATATCATTTATCATTAGTCGGTATTATCATTTATAATAATAATAATCATTTATTATTCAAAATCACTGTTATAGTCAGTATTAAAATAAATAACAGCCGAAGGCCTGTGAAATTTTGTAGAAATGCCGAAACCTAACCTAAAAGAAGATTACATAATAACATAGAGGTCGCTACTTAGAGGTTGTGTATTTGAGATTTGGGACATTTAATTGCATCAGTATTTCTGAATAAGTTCAAGGCTTTTAAAAATTGTATGGCTACTGACTATAAGTAACGTGTCGAGTCCTAACCTAAAAGAAAATTGCATGATCACATAGAGGTCGCTATTCAGAGGTTGTGTATTTGAGATTTGGGACATTTAATTGCACCAATACTTCTGAATAAGTACATGGTTTTTAAAAATTGTATGGCTGCTGACTATACGTAATGTGATAGTAACAATAACAATAACAATTACGTAACAAAAAGCTCATGAAATAATTTAAACTAGCAACTGGTAGAAATAACTCTAACCTATAATTACCTAACACAAACCGTGTCGTTTTAACTCTTTTGAATGGCGCTGATGCACTATGGGATCGATTACTGTGTTATTTAAATTTTCTTTCATTATAAAGGTGTATAAATATCCACATTCTTTTTATTACGTTATCGGTTACATGTTATAAATACTTTTCTCGGTTGTGAGATAAAAATAAAAGTTCGTACATAGTTCAAAGTTCAAGAATTTTTGTCACACGTGTCTTTTTATATAGATATTTCAATGGGGGCTGAAATTATGTATTAATAAGGTTGACGTAATATTGTGCTAATTAAGTCGAGAAGCAAATATATATATATAGATATTAATATAATGCGAATATAATACTATATAAAATAATGTATAAATATATAACATAAAACAGAAATATTGTAATTTATATTATGAATCATATTTATTTTTATACTTATACATTTATTGTTGTTTTTGTATTTGTATTTTTATTCGTATTTATATTTATATTATGATGACGTAAATGTTACAATACAAGCAAGGTTACGAATTTTGAAGAAATTAAAATCTAAAAATTGAGGAAGTACGATAAGTTTTTATTAAATTTAGTATCGTAGGTTATTTAATTTTATATAAGTTATATTTGACAATATTTTAATTTTAATTATTAGATTTGTTAGTTATTCGAATATTTCACAATTTTGACTTTGTATTGTGAAAATATACTTTTCTACTTAAAAATGTACTTTTTCTACCTAAAATAGGCTTAAATCGCCTTCGAGATTATATTAAATACTTGCAAGGAGAAATCAAAGAACCCAAGATGGCGGACAAGTTAGACGAAGAACCGAAAGTTGATCCAGAGGGAAAGAAAGAAATTACAGATTTGTTGAAGAAATCTCAGGGTTTGTCTAAGAATATTTATCAAACGGAACAGGAAATACAAAAATTGAAGGGACCTAAGGTACACTATAAAATATTTCTAATAAATAGTACCAATTTTGCATTTTTAATTTCTTAATTCTTCGGTTATTGGCAACTTAATAGAATTTAATATTTAATATTAGACGTATTAATTAATATAATTTTTTAAATTATTTGTCAAAATTTGTGTTATTTTCTAACTGTTATTTTAGTCAACTCGCGTCCGGTATTTCTTCGTTTCTCTGTTTGAAATTATTTTAAGTATTGAAACAAAATAGAATTCGAATGATATTGATTTTATCATGGTTTTAGTAGAATTTATTTTCACAAGTAATTTAAGAATGAAAAGAAGCAAGTGAAAAGTCTGATTGACAAGATTGACAATTGAATGGTCATTTACGTAGATATATATACTTAACCATAGTATTTATGTATAAATACGTAATTTTAAAAAAATTTCTCATGTCAAATTTAATATAATGCATAGGTCTCTGAAGGAGTCTTCGATCCCGATTCTTGGCTAAATGTAAGTCTAGGAATAATATTTATTAAACATCCCAATAAAACACTATCATATTTATTTTACTTTTGCGCGCTTCTAATGACCGAGGCATTACGCATGAATTACGGCTGCACATTAATTAGAAATTTCACGTACAAAGCTTCCATTGAGAAAAAGAGGAAGGAGAAACACTCTTTGATACACGTTCTGCGTATGAATAATCCAAATGTTTTGTTGAAATTTTTCCATAAAGAAAGTAATCCTCCTTCCAGCACACAAAACGTAAAACCATTTTCAAAAGCTTACCCATTTTGAAGTGGAATGTCGAGTGAGCATAATATATTTTAACGTTCATGTTCTTTAAAAAATCTACATTTCCTTTATCCGTTAAAACATTCTTTTTCAAAGTCTTTTTTAAAATCTTTGAAATATTTGTTGATACTGGTTAGTGTTTTCGATATTGTCAAGAATTTCTGTAATGAAGAATAATTTTGAAAACTAGGTATGTATCGTTAATATATGGAAATAGTCGACGTGTTAGAAATATTTTCCTATCGGGTTTTACGACTATCGTTGCTGTCATTGATACGTTACTGAGTCGTGTGCATATTATATCATCGACGTTGGGTACCTCATGTGAATAAACTATAAGTGAATAAATTTGACAGATCTAGTAAATCATTCTCTGTTTCAAAAATTAATACACGACTTCACCCTGTTAAATCGAATATTTGAAATATATTTTTAAGCTCGGTTTAAAACTTGAGGAATAGAGCTTTAAATATGGAACGTTAATAATTTTCTTCATCTACGGGTGATTAAAAATATAATCGATATATCGGTAGTTTAATTAATTGAATTTATTACTTCATATTCGAGGGTATCGTCGGTTCTATACTAATTTTTAATAACGAGATCTATTATTCAAAGTACTTCGCGAATATGCGAACCTTTCAAGTTTGTCAATGTGTAGAAAATTTAGATAGAAAATGGAACTCCGAAGAGTCACGTGATACTATGC